GCCAAAAAAAGAAAAGGGCGCACCATAGAAGGAAATAATTTAAAATTTTGGAAGTCTCCTCTTACTCCTTTGCTCACTGCGGCGGGCACCGCGAATATGGACCCGCCAGATACTATCTCGGGCTTCGCCGTACTACCAGCTATATACACAAAGAATGCAACTCACATTCTGTATGGAAAGGCGCATGTGGGCTCTAAAAAGGCGGACAGCACCAGCAAGGTTCTCCCAAACGGGCGAACGCTCTTCCTGGTCAACGTCCCGCCAGACGCGACCGAACGCGAGCTCACGCTCTTCTTCAAGCCTGCTGGCGTAGTCGAGAAAATCGTGTTTGACCAGAATGCCGCCGAGGAGGAAGCGTTAAACTCGGACAGCAGCAGCGAGGAGGAAGAGGCGGATGCGGGGGAAGGGATGCAAGTCGATGGAACTACGGGCTCGGGAGAGCGACCAGCCAAGAGGCGGAGAAAAGACAAGGGAAAAAGAAAGAAGCCGGTCGTCGAACCCCTTCCTTCCGTCCCGTTACGCACACTTCGTAAAACAGGGCGCACCGCGTATGTCGTTTTCCTCGACTCCGCCTCGCTCTCTGCCGCGCTCTCGCCTCCACACAAGTCCCGCCCCTGGCCGCGCTCGGCAGAGCCATCGGGCCTCGCGCATTACAAGGCGCTGCACGACTCGCTTCGGCCGCCACTCGATGCCGTACGTGCGCACGCCGAGTCTGCCATTGCGCTCTTCGACTACGAAGAGGAGCGCAGGAGGCAGAAGTTTCAGTACACAAAGGGCGAGGCGATTGTGGATGAGGATGGATTCACGCTCGTCACGCGCGGAGGCTCGTACGGGCAGACTCCTGGCGGCGGCGTGGGCATTGCGACGAAACGCTTCCATGAGACTGGAGAGACCAATCGTGGGGGGAAGAAAAAGAAAGAAAAGGCGGAGAAAGATTCATTCTATGCTTTCCAGAAGCACGAGAGAAAAAGGCAGGGTAAGTAGTATAGGCACTCATCTACACATACTAAGCTTTGCTGACAACTTCTTCAACAGAACTTGTCGATCTCAAAAAGAAGTGGTCGGAAGACTTGGAGAAGGTGAAAAAGTTGAAGGAGACGAGAAGCTTCAGGCCATATTGATTCTGCGGACAAGGCAAGACGTACTATTATTGCATACTTTCTCTTTGGGTATTCAAAACGCTACATGTAATTCTACAGATGACTTATGCTTCATACCCAGGCGGTAACTCTCCTTGCGAATCATGCGCTGCTTGAGAAGTCGATGCTTGCGGCTCTGGTGTCCGCTCCATACTGGGAGAGTCATACAGAGCTGCGGAATTCCATCAGCGCTTCATGATTGAACACGCACGAGTTCAAAAAACTCACGAAGTGTATCAACCTCACTTGCTACTTGACGCTTCATATAAATCGCTCTCTCGCGACTCTTCTCCAAGAGGCTAACGAACTGAAACAAGCCACGGTCCTTTAGCCTAATTTCCACCGTCGTCCCGATTGTCAAACCACCATCCGGAGAAGGTTTGATAGTGAAGGCCAAGTAGTTAGACCCGAAAAGAGGTTGTTCAAACGACGTGGAGAGAATGGAAGCAAGCGGGACAGAGAGGGAGTCGAATACGGAGTTGAAGGCAGGCGCAACGAAGATCAGCTATAGATCGGAGATTAGACACTATGGACTGTATTGGCGGTGAATGAGGCTCTGCGCACTCGTTGATCTGTAAGATGTATGCGTCCGATCTCTTTGAGTCTCTTTGAGCCTCCTGAGCCTCCTGAGGATGCCCCTTGAGATGGTAATGCGTCCGGGATGGACAGGATGATCTCTGCGCCATCGTCGACCGTGAAGATCGTTGTCTCGTCTGGAAGCGGGATAGGAGCCCTGTCCGGACTTAACATCGTCCAGTTCAACGCCATGGTAGATGGTGACAATATGCGTTCAAGTTGTGCGAGCAAGCCGCCACAATGTCAGCTAATCAGACCGAAGTGACGGCGTGACAAGACGCGTCGTGGCTCACGCGTTGTTTGGCGCGTCAACCAACAGTGACCGGCAGCACCGAACAGTGGTGTTCATTCTTCGTCATTGTCTTCGTCGGCGGACACCGACAAGGTTGCGCTGAGGAGTCGCTCTGACAAGATAGGATGGCCGCTCCTATCCTTTTCTCCACACACTCATCGAATCCGCTCGAGATTCCCACGTCTGACCCTCAGAACCTACGGTATCGACATCACGTCGAACGCATGCGCGAGCGCCGCGGTGCCCAAGCTCTTTCCTCGGACGACCCTATCGCAGGATACAATGTCGAGGAGGTGGCTGACTATCAGCACCACATCAAGCAGCTATTCCCGGAGATGACACCGGTCGCTCCGCGCAAAGGTCCACTGCAGGCTCAGGGCCTACAAAAGGCACAGCAGGAGCCACTTGTGTTCAGCGACAGTGACGACGAGCTTGAGATCGTGCCAAACGACCACGAAGAAATCATGCAGATCAGACCTGTTGTTCCCGACCGCGTTCCCGACCGCGTGCTCGACCCGGAGGACGTGGTGGCTGAACCCGAACCCGGGCCTGAGGCTGAGCTTGAACCCGAGCCCGAGCCCGAGCCCGAGCCTGAGCATGATCCTGAGCATGATCCTGAACCTGACGTCGAGCTGGAAGAGGACGAGGGAGAATATGAGGATGAAGAGACGGATGAGGAGATGAGTATCATGCTGAAGCAGCCTGAGGAGCGCGAAGAGATCGAGGAGGAGATCGCTGACCTCGAGGATGCTGTCCCTCAGCTGGCAGAGGATTACAAGGTCGTCGACCGCCTTGGAACGGGCACCTTTTCGTCCGTCTACAAGGCAGTCGATCTTGGCTATGAAACGAAGTGGAATAATGAAGCATGGCACGGTCACCACCCCTCCCAGTCCTCAGCGCACTATCAGTCCGCTCCCGCGCCGCCCGGCACAAAGGTGTTCGTCGCAATCAAGCGCATTTACGTGACGAGCAACCCGGAGCGCATCCGCAACGAAATCGCTATCATGGAAGACTGCAGGGGCTGTCGCCACGTCTCGCAGCTCATCACCGCGTTCCGCCACCGTGACCAGGTCGTCGCCATCATGCCTTATCACCGCAATGACGACTTTCGCGACTTCTATAGAGTGCTGCCGATGGACGGCATCAAGGCTTACTTCCGCTGCTTGCTACGCGCGTTGAGGGACATCCACTCGCGCGGTGTTATTCATCGCGACGTCAAGCCGGCTAACTTTCTGTTCGACGCGCGCACATACATTGGAACGCTGTGTGACTTCGGTTTGGCTTGTGTAAGTGTGCAATATTGATTCTGTTTATTGCCAATCCCGCGGATATTAACAAGTGTGAAAGCGTGTGGACTTTGATGCAAAACCTGGACACTGCCTGCATACACCGGCGACGCGTGAACATATTCATGGACAAAAGAAATCAAGCAAGCTCATCGACACTGACCTGGTCAAATCGATGCAACGCGAAGCTAGACAGAAAAGCAACTCATCCTCTGATCGAGTGGGATATCCGGACAAGGATATGAGGCGAGTGTCATAGATCATCAGTGTCCGGACAGTCAATAAACTAGTCACAGACCACATTCGAAGGCCAACAGAGCAGGGACACGAGGATTTCGAGCTCCCGAAGTTTTGCTAAAGTGCAGTGAGCAGACAGGGGGTGAGCGATGCTATTTGCATATTTTACTTCTCAAGTTACTTATACTAGATCTTTCAGCGGTCGATATTTGGTCTGTGGGAATGATTCTTCTCTTTTTCTTGATCGGAAAGTTTCCTCTATTTCAATCAAACGACGACATCGAGGCTCTTTTAGAAATTGCTGCTATCATCGGCAGGAGGCGAATGGAATGTGCCGCGACTTTGCACAGTAAGTACATTTTCAACCGGTAATCCGACTTCATCTAACTTGCTTGAAATTCACAGGTCGAACTTTTGCTACTAATGTACCTTCCGTCACCCGCGACGGCATGACATGGCGGGATTTCGTCGAAAAGAATAACCCAGACCTTCTCCATCTCCCCTCACCTCCGGCTTCGCCATCATCGCTATCTGGGTCCTCGTCCGGATCTTCCCACTCGAAGCCCGCCTCGATTTCGGACGCGTACCGCCACGAGCTCGAGCTCGCCTTTGACCTGCTCGAAAAGCTGCTTTTGCCTGAGTCTATCAGTCGCATCACCGCGCGCGACGCGCTGTACCACCCGTTCCTCGCAGAGACTCGGAACACGGAGTCCCCAAACGGCACCGGGGTTTCTGGCACTGACACCGACATGGGCGACGACGCGTTTTTTCCGCACCCGATCGGTGGCGGGCGTTGCGGGATGTACCATTTTATGGACGCGGTGACAGAGGAGCACCATGTGCAGATCCCTCGCCGGCGGGGCATGGTGGTGCGTCCGCTACAGCCGGGTCAGGGAATTCCGATTGGGAACCGGCCTTGCGAGTTTCATAAACATCTGGCGCAGTTCAAGGATGCTGCTGAGGGTCGTAAAGGGGAAAATAAGCCTACTGCAAAGGCGCAATGATGGACCTCGTTTACTGAAATGGCGTGCGCTGTGTTTTCTTGAAGCCTTTTACTTATTCACTTATATCGGGAGACCGTATTATACTGTACCGCACTGTTTCACTACCGATACACCATGGATACTTCTGAGACCATCATCCTCACATTCTCAAACTGATACACACTAGCAATATACACAGTCTGATGATGAAAATTGAAGATGAGAAATCTTCAAATAGTCAGTCGATAAATTGCAGCTACGCTATATTTAATGCGGTAAATAGAACATGACATGAAATTGTTTCACTCGAACTGCACGCAGCCCAGACATGACTTTCAGAACAATGAAGGCCACTTGTAATGACTCTAGGAAGTGGGGCTGCACTATATATAGCTGGACAACCTGACTCGGCCCCGGTCAGACCATGGCAAAGGATAAAATACCAAAAATGAGGCATGGGACAGTCAATCGCTAACATGAAAAACAATGACACAGACAGGACTCGAACCTGCAGTCTTCTGGTTATGGTATAGCAAGGCAGTCGAAGCCAGACGCGTTAACCATTACGCCACAGTGCCGTAATGCTATAAGCAATCATATCACCCATATTGTTTTAGCGCACAGTTGTTCTTCAAGAAAGTAAAAATACTTGGCACCTTCTCATGCACTTTGATCACTGAACAGATATGTTGGAGAACATATAGACCACCGCATTGTGCGTTTAGAAATTGGGTAATGATGACTGAAGCTTGAAGAGGCCGTGTAAGGTCCGGTGACCACATAATTCTGTATTCCGTCGTGGATAAACAGCTTTTTATTTAGTTATCACAGAATGAAGTTAACGACTTTGTATATGTGCTCTCCGAGGTGTTCGTGCAGTTTCCACTCATTTTTCGGCTGCCTTTCTTGGTCAGTGAGGATGAATCGGCAGAGTATATTTCGGCACGGTTGAACCCACCCGAAGCGTTCACGACGCAGTCGAGTTGGAAGGCCGACATTCAACGATAGAGTCCGCCAGATAGTTGGCCGTAGGAGGTATGTCATATCGGATGATAGAAGATACGACCGCCAGTGACAACTGCAAGCTATAGATCCAGTCCTGGAGGTCGAAACTAAAAACCAAACCCGCCCTTTTGAAGCTGAGCGACACAGTGTCAATGATTGGAAGTTGCGGGACACGGCCGAAATTGCGCACCCCTGCGCTAGACAGCCACGGAACGTTCTGCCGTCGAAGATTTCTGGCATAATGTAAGAGATGCCGGCTCTGAATCCGTCAAGCGACGAATTGAATAAAATATTAGGCCAGGAGAGCAGACGGGTAGTGCGGGACAACTACGCCACTCTTCGCGAATTTCATGCCTTCAGTGCGCTCACGCGTTCGCGCTTCGCGCTCTTAATTTTGTGAATTTCCTCGCGCTTCCCAAAGTCCGAGTCGTGTAGTTCCTGAGGCAAGAAGTCAGCGAATAGCGCGATGAGGATTGGGGGAAGATTACACGCACCATGTTCGCGAGGCGCTTCGCCGTAGCGACGGCGTTCAGTTTTTCGAGCACCTTCGCCTCTGAGAGGGTCATCTCGGTGAGCTTCGTCCCTGAGAGGAAGAGAGAGGGGAAACAGATCAATACAAGCCACCTCCGGAAAACAAAAAGAAGACTTACTAATGCGCTCTTCGATCCTCACTACACGCTCCTCGTCGCGCTCCGTCACGAAGCTCACCGCAACACCCGCAAGCCCACGGCGTGCTGTACGGCCAACACGGTGCGTGTACTCCTCCGGGGCTTGCGGCATGTCCCAATTGATGACCATTGCGACCGCGTCGACATCGAGACCACGTGCGCCAACGTCTGTACACACGAGCACGGGTACGACGCGCGCGCGGAAGAGACCCAGTGCGCCGAGTCGTGCGCGCTGTGGGAGCCGCGAGTGTAGCGCTGCCGCGCGCACGCCGAGTGTTTGGAGCAAAGCGGAGAGGTACGCAGCAGTGCGAGCGCGCGCGGTGAAAATGATCGTGGGGGGCGGCTGTTCTGGCGCGTCGTCATCGTCGTCGACTGTAGGCTTGCGCGACTTGGACTTAGATTTGGAAGGCTTAGACTTCTTAGACGACTCAGGCGGGGCAACGCGGAGGTGGGCGATAGATTCGGGCGGGTTGCAGAGGAGGTGGAACAGGTACGGTTCGCGGACGTGTGAAGGGACGAGGATGTAATGCTGCTCGAGAGTGTCGACGGTTTCGACACTGGATAATGCGAAATTAATACTTTTATTGTATCATGGGGGAGCACAACTCACGTTGAGGACATCCTGTGCACGAACGGCTGCTGCTTCCCCGGGCGCGGCGGCGCGGAGATGAGCGCCTCGATGGACTCCGTCATAGTTGCCGTGAACAAACAGGTCTGGCGCTCCTTTGGCAGCGCGCTGAAGAGATGAGCGAGTTCCGGGGCGAAGGTCGGCGTGAGCAGACGATCGGCCTCGTCGAGCACCTAAGCACGAAAAGAAAAGAGCTAGTCAAACAAGAGATAAAACACAGATTATAGACGGAAGCATACCAGAAACTTAACGCGCGACAGGTCCCATTCATCACGCGAGCTTTGGAGGTGGTCGACGATGCGACCGGGCGTCGCGATGACGACGTGCGGCCGGTTCTGGAGCTCGATGGCCTGCGCTAGCATGTCCATGCCGCCGACAATCACGGCCGTCTGGATGTTGAGCGCGGCACCGAGCACGGCGAACTGCTCGGATATTTGGAAGGCGAGTTCTCTGAAAACGAGAGATGTAAGGTAAACTATAGGAAAGGAGAAGATGTAAAACGTACCGTGTAGGAGTGAGTACGAGAGCGAAGATCCCGTAGGGGTCTATGGATAATTTTTGTAGTATGGGAAGGGCGAAAGCGACTGTCTTCCCTGAGCCTGTTTTCGCATTGCCCACGCAATCTCTCCCTATACCCGACCAAGATGAATTCGTAAGCTTTTCAGATGATAGTTCAATTTAAAGTCGGGCACTGACCTGCGAGCAAAGGCGGAATGCACGCCGCTTGAACCTCCGTCGGCGCGCGGATGGACATGCTCGCGAGAGAGGCGGCGAGCGCCTTGGACGCACCGAGCTCTACGAACGTCGACGACTTTGGTATAGGAGCGGCGAAGGGTAGTTTGACATTACGCTCCGGGGCGCGCGTTCTTGACGGCAGAGACATGCGAGACGACGACTCCTCTTCGACAAAGAGGCGTCGGCGTGCAGTTGGTCTGTCCTTGTTTCTTTCGTCACCCGACTCGGAGTCTTCTCCATCCTCCGACGCTTTTTCGTCGTTTCCTGAGCCCTCCAAGTCACTTTCTTCCTGTCCTGCCTCGCCATTCACGTCGTCGTCGCCGTCGCCGTCAAACTCGGCATCCGAGTCCAAGCCCGCTTCCTCCTCTTCCTGAAGTCTACGCCGTTTTCGCCGAGGTTCCTCGACACGCTTGAGTAGATCTTCCGCGCTGAGCTCCTCGATATGCCGACTGTATTTTATTTTGGGGGCCATTGGTGAAGTTCACTGTTCAAGTGAGAAATGCTGAAATCGGCAAATTTCCCATTCTTGGCCAAGATTTTGAAAAATTGCACTTGACACTGACGCCGACGACCACGCCCGCCCCGTACCTTCTGTGCCGCTCTGCTCGATCTACGACCAACAATTTTGGTTGTCTTGAAGATGTACACGATACATCCGCCATCTCTGCTTTCATAAATTCATCGATTTGTTTTTGTGCATGAACGCTCTTTGTCGCACTCTGACTCGAAACCTGCGCACGATGGCCTCGCCGACTCAACTGCTCGAATGCGATCCCGCATCCATCGCATTCCCAGATTCGCTCGACTCCCCAGCCTTGCCAGTCATCTCATCTCCTTCCACCCTTGACGCTCTCAAGCTCTCAGCGCATCACCTCGCGCTCGATGACGTTGTTGCATTCCCAACGGAGACCGTCTACGGGCTTGGCGCCAACGCCCTCTCCCCGCCTGCCGTTGCACGCATCTTCGCAGCTAAGGGCCGCCCGCAGGACAACCCGCTGATCGTGCACGTCTCCTCCCTCCCCATGCTGCGCCGCATCCTCCCAGATGCATACGCCTTCCCGCCGGCCTACTCCACCCTTATGGGCCTCTTTTGGCCCGGACCGCTCACGCTGCTCTTCCCCGCCGATGCGCGCGTTGTCCCACGAGGCGTCACTGCGGGGCACCCGAGCGTCGCTGTGCGCGTGCCGGCGCATCCCGTTGCGCGCGCTCTCATCGCTCTCGCCGACGCCCCGCTCGCCGCACCCAGCGCGAATGCGTCGGGCAAGCCGAGCCCAACGCGTGCCGTACATGTGCTGAATGATCTCGGCGCCGCTGGCCGCGTGCGCGTCATACTCGATGGCGGGCCATGTACGGTAGGCCTCGAGAGCACGGTCGTCGATGGCCTCAGTACGGACGGCCATCTGCGCGTGCTGCGCCCTGGGGGTGTCACCGTCGAGGACCTGGAGCGCGCCATGCAGACGCTGCCGGAGGAGGGCCGGCCGAGGGTGTTAGTACACAGGCGGGACTACGAGGACTCGGTGGTGGAGAGTGCGCCGACGACGCCTGGGATGAAGTACCGGCATTATTCCCCGTCCGTGCCAGTGACGCTCCTCATGACAACCTCGAAAGCCCCACCGGGGGAAGCGTACGTTTCTTTCCCGGACACGTTGACGTCGCTTGCCTCGACGCACGCGCCACGCAAGATCGGCTTGCTCGCGCCGTCGGATTCGCCACTGCTGCAGCATCTGTCAAAATCGACTGGTCCGCCAGTCGAGCATTTCGCACTCGGGGCTCGCGCAGACCCGGCGACAAGTGCGGCGCGTCTGTTCGACGGGCTGCTGACGCTGGAAAGTGGCGGCGCGGACGTCATCCTCGTCGAGGAGATTTCGGAAGACAACGAGGGTTTGGCCTTTATGAACCGCGCCCGGAAGGCGGCTGGCGAAATCGTTTACGTGCGCGAATAGATTTAGATTAGATTAAATTGTATAAGAAATAGGAAATTTTACCTTCAACGACTGCTAAAGCTCGCCATTTTACAGCATAGTATCTTTTCAGCGCGTCCGCTGCCAAGCCCCCGTGGTCTTCCGGACTTCTTCAGCAAAACTATGGACGTCGCGGCCTTTAAGCGAAAAAGATGCTCGACCGTTAGACTCTTTACTTTGTATTTTGAAGGCCTAAGGTAGCACATGAAAATATCGCGGCAATACAACGAGTGCTAAGATGCGGTTGATAATCATTTCGAGTCTTGCCTATTAGTATTATGACTTTCAATACTATCAAAACTGGTACAAATGGTGCTCAGATGATGGTTAGAGTTATACAGGTTGATCCTAGAGAGGTTTGTGGCTGTAGGGCGCGAATTCGGAGTCCGAATTTCTAAGGGCGCGCGCGACGCGTCCAAAGTTGTGGCAACACGTGACCCAAGATATGCATTCATTCCGCTCCTAGAAGAGCTTAAATATTTGTAAAATAAAAAAATAAAATAAAATAGAATGTTGTATGTGTGTGTGTCTAAAGAACGTAAGTGCGAAGCTTTGCATAGAATGAAGAGTGAGGAAAGTCC